CCCCCTTCCCCTTCCCCTTCCCTTCCTTTTTGAGAAAATGTCTCCTTTCTAGCCCCAGGTGGCCTGGAACTCACTATGTAGGCCAGGCTGGACTTGATCTCACAGAGATCCACCTGTTTCTGTCTCCAGAGTGCTGGTACTGAAGGCATGTGCCACCACACCCAGCTAATTGTTTTGATTTGGAGAAAAATACCTTTCTCCTATTAATAAATGTGAAAAGAAAGCTTATTATTTTGGATCATATTTAATTGAACACATTTTCAAGATAGGTAAACACATCTGCATTTTACTTTCTCATACAAAAAAGTATGGATTTATTTGTATGTGTGAGGGTATGTGTGGGGAGGGGTACCGGTACATGTGTATGCGATGTATATAGAGGCCAGAGCTTGAGTTGAGTGTCTTTCAAATTGCTCTCCATTTTAGATTTTGAGACAGGGTCTCTTACTGAACCTGGACTTTGCTGTTTGGCTTAGACTGGCTGGCCAGTAAGCACCCATCTTTATGTTTGCATAGCAAGCATTTTACCCACTGAGCCATTGCCCCAGTCTTTAATTTCAGCTCCTAAATCGATCTAACAGTTAGAAGTACTTAGAGTGATATAAATATGCAACTGATAAGATATTTTTCTTCTCATTACTTATGCATGGATACATAATACATGTATAATACATTTAACTATAGATAGACTATAATGCATGGAATATATTTATTTACTTTGCTAAGAACTCAAACAATATTGGTAACTGACTATAAAGAGAGCAACACAAAGGAGAATATTATTTAATACTCTGAAGATGTCATTTTTTTATTCTTATTGTACAGAAGTATCCAGTAGTGATGTCCACCTACCTTGGAGTTATGGGTCGAGTCCTACTACAAAATGCTAGTTTCTTTACTTCCCTTCTTAATGAGATGGCACATAAGTTTAATCAGGAGGTAAGAATCTGCATACCTAAATGTAATGAAATCTGTGTCAGAATAGATACTGGAAACAGTTGATGAAATAGAAAATATGTAAATTCTTCTGAAACATTGAAATCTTTATCTTTTTTTTAAAAAGCATTTTATTTTTATTTTATGTGTATGCGTGTATTGCCTGCATGTAGGTCAGTGCTCCCATGTCATGCAGTGCCCTCGGAGGACAGAAGAGGCTATCAGATCCTCTGGAACTGGAGTTATAGACAGTCGTTAGCTGCCATGTGAGTGCTGGGATTCGAACCTGGGTCTTCTGCAAGAGCAGCCAGTGTTCTTAACCACTGAGCCATCTCTCCTGCCCCTAAATTATCTTTTAATAATTTAGGTTTTACCTCTTTGAGGGTAGAAGACAGAAAAAGGGTTCTGCAAATAGCAGGTGAAAGTTTGACATTTTGTTCTCATTCAAAATAAGTGATTTTGTTTGCCTAGCTATAGAATAGAATTTTGATTTGTTGTAGTTTTTCTTCACTCATTCATAATCAACCACATTTTTTTTTTTTTTTTTTTTGTTTTTTTAAATGCTCCCGCCGGCCGCCGCCAGCCACCAGCCGAGGGGTGGTCCCCCCCTGGCTTTCACTTGAGCCCCTGACCCATGGTAGTCACTGGCCAGAGGCAGTCGGCCCCTGACTCATGCACGCATTAGTTCAAGGCAGGTAGGGTGGGCAGCTTCTGCTGCCAACCCCGTGCACTCCACTCCACCCTGCCCTTCTAAAAAAGGCATCCATTGGTCCTGTTTTCATGGGTCCCGGGGGGTTCTGAAGCTGCCCAGGGTACATATGCCTGAGGTGCTGCTTGTTACTTTGACCACTTTTGGTTTCACTTGTGTTGCATTTCTGCCTTCTTCCTCAAACTCTTCCCATGATTCCCATGTATCCCCAGTAAAAACGTTAGCCCCAAGTAGCCAGGGAGCCAAATGAATCACCTCTTCCCAAATCTTTTGAGCTACTGGATCTGACAGATCCAGTCCCCTGCTTTTGAGCATATCTCTCATCACTTTAAGTGCCGGGTCCTCAGACTTAAAACTTGCATTACCCATCTTTCCAGGTCTTGCTTACCCCGAACTTCTCAATTGGCCCCAATCCGTTTTTCTTCTTTCTTCTTTCTTTTCTTCTTTTCACCTTCCTTCGAGCGCCATGCTGAGTGCCAGTTGCTAGGGGGTTTGTACCAGCGACCCCTGGCCAGTGACCACTGGGGATGAATAAGCATGCTGTTTGCCAGCCCATGCCACCACCGGTACTGGGAACACTCAGGCATAACGGGGAGCCTAGTCAAGCAGGGTCTCATTTACTGTAGGTGTTACAGAGCTTGTAAAGGCACCTGGAAATCCCCCCTCCCTGCCGAGGGTGTATCTTAAGGATGGTCACGTGCAGATCATGCACTCCTCAGCAGTGCAGAAGTATTCTTCAGACTTTCAAAGCAAGTCAGACTGCACCCCAGTAACTTCCTCTCAGACTTCTGCAAAGCGGGGCCTTTATGTCCCCACACACCAGCACTTCCTTGGACCCATGGGGACCTCATAGTCCAGTGGAAAGCAGATAGCCACATAGCAGTCATAGGACATCACTTTGAGAGTGGCCACCTCATTCCAGGCCAAGGATATGAAAAAGAAAACCTGAAGAATGCACTGAGCATATCCACTGCCAGTAAGGGAATTGTGAATGGACTGGGGTACAGTAACAGATAGGGAGTAGAGGTCAAGAAGGGAAAGGTGCTTCAGGAAGTAGTACATCAAAGATTGGAGCTGTGGGTCCTGTTTTATGATGGTG